CAATCTGACGAGGAAAAGATTTGCATATATGGGGGAACCTTTAATGCTTCGTTCTTAACCCCTTTGCTTGTAAGCGGTACGTTTTCCGCTCCGGAAATAGTAAACGCATGAAAAATTTAATGGCTTCACAAGCCGTGCAGTCAATTGCGCCCCCTTCGAAAAGGGGGATTTCCCCGCCAAAACGACTTCCGCTTGATTTACAGCTACATTTGTAAGTAGACACAAAACACTTAACAGCTAAAAAGGACTTTGCATAAGTAATGAGCGGAGGCGAGCCGCGCCAGCCGCCTGGCATGCACATGTCTGCGGCCCTGCAAGGACTTTAAGATCCTGAACGCAGGACGAATGAGGACCAAGCCAAAAGCTGAAACTAAAGCGTTTCCAGCGATGCGCAGCAGTGCGAGAGATCCCCCTGACTTTTTACACATAGCTGCACACACGCGCTCAGGCCACCGAAAGGATAGTGCTGCACTGAGAGAAAAATCCCTGCGAAAGGGAGAAATATGTTCGCTACCATCTGGATTCAACTAATTAGTTATTCACTAAATAAGGTATTACCCTCATTATGCTGTGACTTTAGCTTTAACTATTATGTGACTAATGAGTTTTCTGAACACTTTGTTTTTTCCCAGTGCATAGTTTGCGGAACACGGCATGTGAGTTGCTGAGTCCTCGCCATGACATCTTGATGGATGTGCGGGCGGCGAGCAGCTGCTCCAGTGGACATCCTCCATCATCCTTCGCCGCCATCAGCAGCCAACACCCAACGTAACCCCCAGATGGGGAAGCCGGATGAGCTCTTTACTCCGGCTGACCACAAAAACAAAACAAATTCCGCACTGATTGCCAAAAGGGTTCCGTGGCCACGCCCCAGTTCACCTACGTCGCACTCCATAACGGTGCTTTAAACACAACCGATTTTGGGGCCGACTTCATTAGCCCCCAAAATCCGTAAGTTACGATGGGTGGGTCGGGTGTATGGTGGCATGATGGAAATGCCTGCTTTCGGGAGCTGGCCAAAAATTAATTGGCTGCTCTGAGCCGGCCGACAGCTGCCATTTTGTGCCTGCCATTTGCTATGCGTAGACATGTCAATTCCCCACGCCCAAAAAACACCGCCCATCTGGCCACCAGAGCCTCCAGGTAGCTTAAAGATTTATGATTAAGCCAACTAGTGGGCTTGGTGGGAAGAAATGGCCAGATTGGGGCGGAGGTGACCCACAAAGTTTATCCAACTTTCGCTTTAACTACGACATTGGCTCATTGCGGCTCGTTTATCTATGAAATGAAGGAATCTGATTGCCAAACGAAGCGTTCCCAGTGGGGCTTTCAACTGAAATATCGAGCCGTTTGTTTGAAGATTTAACAGAATTTATGCAGCTTTCTGAATATTAAAATGTCAAATAGAACAGAAATTGATTGTATTTTATTGATGACAGTTTGTGCATTAATTCGATGAAGGGGCATTTCCATATTTTTAAGCTTGCAAGCAGAACCTTTTCTATTGACAGTGATGCAAACGCTACTAGCTTTAATAAATATATGTGCTTGATAGTACATAATATTAAATAAATATGATCTATAGATTGTCATTAATTTTTAAGTCAAGCGAAAAGTTATAATTACATTACATTAGTTACATTACAAAAACTGCTATACTAAAGTAAAATATGATAAATTTGATCTAGAAGTTTTTTAAATGTTAAATTTTAATTAAATGTCCCGGATAATTGGCATCACTGGCTTAAAGTGGGGTCCTGGCCACCCTTCTTCTCGAGATTTGTGCGTGTCGCAGCTTATGCTCTGGCTTAAGCGCTTAAAATGCTTTTTGACAACAAAAACAGCAACCATAACAACGAGTATGGCAACAACAATAATAGTAGCAACAAACTGTCTGCTGCCAGTGGTAGAATGATAAATTCGTTCCCCACCCAACATTTTTAGATGGTTTTTCTCGTGTAAGCCACGCGCCGTCTAGCAGCCCCATTCCCAGAGAAATCCCCGTCATTTGACATCCCACTTGCCCATTTTCCATTTTCCATTGCCCCAAACTCCATTTTCCGCACAGTAAGATATCTGTGTAAAATTTCATTGCCTATTTTGTTTTCCTTTATTTTGTGTTATGTTTGACGCTGAAAATCGCAGCTTCGCCAATTTGCGCTCAATTAATTTTCCAGCTACTCGTCTCGCGCCTTTTTTCGCGTGGCTTTTCCTTTTATATTTGCGGCTGTTCACTTGTTTATCATTTTTCTTCGCAAGTATAATTTATTAAGTTGCAAACATTTGCGAGCTTTTCGCGTTTACTTAAATATTCACGACCATTGACGGCACGCTGTAATTCAATTTACAGTCTTTTTCATGGCTTTTGATGGCTATGCAGTAATTGCGTTTACTGTTATTAATTAACTGGCATTTAATGCGGATTTTAAAATGAAATTAATTATGCATTAATTATGTTGTTCTGCTGTAATCATAATTCACGTGTTCGCAGCGCAACTGCAATCGCTTAAAATTCCGTCAACGCATCTCACACGCCGCTTAATTGATTTGGTCTTGTGGGGTCAAAAGGTCGACTGTTCAGAGCTTAAAATCAAAGTATATATGCACTGGGCTTTTTCCAAGAGTTTTGCATAATAGCATCAACATTTTCTTCTTCAGCTTAGTAAATGTACAAATTTAATTCCTGCTAAGCTCTTAGTGCACTTAAATGCTGACTAAAAAAAGCATATCAGTCTTGCCATTATTATTTAAGCTTTTTGATTCTATATTTAAGCAGATTATAGTAAGCTAATAAATTTTATTTTGCGAAAATTTAAATTATTATTCAGGCGGTCAAGTACGAAAGCCATGAATGATTTTGATACATTTTTTGTATATTGCACGTTCAGCGTTTGACTTGAACTTTTAACTTTCATTATTAACTCGCTGCACAACATTTAGCCCTGATTTATTACTCATACGCCCATTGGTCATAGGCATCGTTATCGCAACCATTTCAGCTTATATAGAAGTCAGGATTGGCACTCTTATTAGTAGAAGATGGAAATCCGAGTACAATTCAAAGCCATTGTGTGCCACATGTAACTTACGTTACTGATGCAATTAATACACTGCACGGCTTACTCATATCCAGTTGCTACTTGTGCCATTGTGTCTGTGAATTGAAAGAGCTCAATCCTTGGATTCTAATGCCTGCTGTTCGCCGGAGATTTCAGCTTCCGTCGCAGGACCCTCTGCAAAGCCCTTGACAGCAGGCAAATCCCGATTTCGTCCTTTCTTGCCTTCAGTTAGCTGGCGTGTGCCCGTGCAACTACAGCAATAACTGCTCCTGCCACTGCCACTGCCACTTCCACTGCCTCTGTAATATTTTTCACACTTGATATAACAAGCAGCCATTTGTTGGTCCTGCTTGCTACATTGCCCACTTTGCCAAGGATTGCTCCAGGTGTTTGTGCGTGTGTGCGTCGCCTTGCTGCTTGTATTGGTGTTTGTGTTTGTGTTTGTAATGGCTCCCAAAGCGCACAAACAAAACTGTCATCAGTGTTGCAGCAGCTGCAGGGGGTGGCACAAAAAGGACTGCTACAGCAGGCGGAAGCAGCACTCAGATAAATGCAGTCCTCAAATCAGCCATTCGTTCTCGAAAATCGAAGAAATAACGTTCAACTGGCGCCGGAAGCAGCACTCACATAAATGCAGCAACGAAATAAGCAACGCCATTTGAAAGTCAAGGAAATAGCTTTTCCAATTTCTGTTTGCTGCTTTATAGTGTTTGTGCAGCCAGCTTGAAGTTATTCAGATTCAAAATAGAAGTATTAAACTATAGTTTATAGCTCCACTTTCTAGACTGAAGATCAGCAATGAAACAATGGAATATTTTCGAACTTGAAAATTATGGAAAAATGTTGCATTAAACAGCGTTTTTCCCAGTGTGATTGCAGGATGGAAATGTGTCGGCAGATGTTGCCAGAGCCGAACTAAGTCAAAGCGAAATTCGCCAGCGCTCGTTTGCCGCCCCTAATGCAATTCTTATGCTGCAGTTGCTCCGCCGCCTGCAAAGGCTTTGGAAGCTTCCGTTGCCAACTTGCTGGCATTGTTTCTGGGCTTCCATGTCGGCGCCAGCGGTTCGTCCTGGCCAGGCTACAGACTACGGGCTACGGGCTACAAAGGCGGCGCACTTATTAAATTGTCTAACGACGCCGCTCCGTTCCGATACGCCCTGCCATCCCATGGATAGACCAGCTATTCCATTTTTCTATCCGGTCTTACGTTTGCCAGCTTTGATCGAAAAATCTGAGACATAATGCAATCTGCACACCGCCAACGCCCTACCAGGCAGCAGCTTCATTAAATGCAACTCCTGTCGCGTGTTGGCGACATGGCAGGAGGTCCTGGCCTGAATGTCTTTGCCACGTTGCTGTCGCTGGCTCTGATTATTATACTCTTCCACTTGGAGAGATTATTATTCGCATTGAGTTGCAGCAAAGGGAATCCGTAAATATCCATATTTCCCTTCAATCTGTGTACATTATTCAATTGATTCGTATAAGTACGAATTTGCAGGGAGTTTTTAAAACCACTCATTTGCAAGATTTACCGCATTTAAATTGCAAATGTAAGACTTTATCTTCTAGAAAAGAATGCGAGCAAACTGAGTTTGGATTTTAATAAAATCATGATGTATCCTGCATCCTTGCAAAGTATGCTCATGCACTTTTAAGGCGTTTGGAATTTAACAACTATTAAAACTTTGTACTGCTTTTTTCGAATTCCCTTGCCCCAAGTAATTAATATTAATTTTCAAGAAGTTTTTCATCCAGCTCATTTTCGTTAGAGTAAACTCTAAAATTACGAAAAAAGAACTTTTCCAACTAAGATTAGCCGCACAAGCCAATCCTGCCTGGCGCACAAGTGACTTACTCAAGTGTGCGTTGAGTCCCTTAACAAAAGGTGGCTGCAAAAAATACCTCTGTTCCGGACATTGAATGGGACAAAGGACTCACCTTTCACCAGCGTAAGGATGCCCAGCGGCATGACCAGCACGGCGACCATAAGATCGGTGATGGCCAGCGACATGAGGAAGTAGTTGGTCACATTCTGCAGCCGCCGCTCCCAGGCGATGGCCAGGCAGACCAGGATATTCCCGGCCGCCGTTCCCAGGACGAGGACGAGTGCCAAAAGGGCCCAGTAGTTGTTCGCATCGAAGGGTGCATCCTCGAAGGTCGCTGTGATGCTCGCATTGCCGGTGGCATTCAACCTGCCCATCTGCAGTTGATTATGCCGATTGCTGGCATTAACCGCCGCTCGCTGCGCCTCATCCTCCTCCCACAGGACCAGGTGCTCCGAGCTGCTCCAGTCCACGCCGCCGCTGTCGTTGTAGGCACCTAGCGAGGCATACACATCCTCTTCCATTCCGCGTTATTATTCCTATTGTGCGCTCTACTCTGATTGCTGGAAATGCAGCATGCTAATTAGCCCTCGCATATGCAACGCAAATCGCAAAAAAGGAAACGAAATGGAAAGGAATGGAAATGTCCTCGCGCCGATTCTGATTCCGATTCCGATGCCGATTCCAATCCGATTCGAATTTCAAATGTAAAGCGGCGCACCGGAAATGAGCGAGGGACGCGGATTCAGGAGTCGCGACAGGAAAAGGACGAGAGCTCACGGCAGCACCAGGACGATTTCTACGGCAACCGAACGGATATTGGTGGCAAACATTTTGCGCCACCAAAGCGCCGGAAGTTTGAGCTGCAATCGAGAAAAGGAAGGAATGAAAACATTAATGAAAACTATTTAATAGGCTCTTCATAAGGAATAACTCAAGTCTATATGCTTAATTAGGAACAGAATGTGGAATTTATACAAAATTAATTTTAAAGACATAACTTTCGATTGACAAAACATTGCTACTCGCACTGCATTGTTCAGCAAGTAAACTACCTTGACAGCAAATTGGCTACGTTTAATGAATTCTTGGAAGCACTAGCAGTGCAATGGAAGCCAGGAACTGTATCACAAATAGAAATTGCTTCCAAATTGGCATTCTAATTTACGAAATACACAATAATTCCCCCACTTTGATTTTTGGCTTTGGTCGGGTTGGCCTGCGAGCCGTGCCACCAATTGGCTTAAAGTCGATAAGTCGTAGCACCGCTCCATGAGTATGAGTAATAATTAATGGGCGGCCATAAATTATTCAGACCTCCACCGCCCACACTTGTTTACTCGATTTACCGTTCAGCATTCAGGCGATTGAGCGACATAATTGCATTTGATTTGCAGGAACTGAGGCCAATCGCCAGTGGCCGCAGGGCAAAAAGGGACTTTGAATAATCGAAATCGATAGTGATAAGCAACAATAACAGAAATCAAATCAATTCCCCGCCTGCGTGTGTCACAAACATGGATAATTAATTGAGACATATTTCACGCAACAGACACAGACACAGAAACAAAGACAGGCCCCAAAAACAACGAAACAATGCCTGGGCCAATATCCGAATTCAAAACAGCCCCAAAAAGCCCAGGAAACCGCAGACGGAGCCCACAAGCAGCGGTGGAGTATCTGGCCCCAAAACAGCACTAACATCGAATTTATTTCCAAAACATACAAATAACACAATGCCCCAGCCGCAGGAGCATAACTTAGAGTGGTCAGGTTTGGGGTGGGCTATTTTAGCAGCTGTTCCTGGATCCAGGATGGACCACACAAACTCTAGGTACGCTGCACTTGCACAAAAATAAAGCTCAGAAAAAAAATTAATCAAAAATAAAAATATTCACAAAATAATCTAGCAAAGCTACACTTGAAAAGCCAGTTGGCCGAGTATTACATTTCATTTGAATCACTGGCCCTTTTTTCTCACAGTGCAGCCATAACAGCAGGCTCAACGTTGCAAAACAATACACAATATTTGCCGAGATCGAAGGAATGGAATGGAATGGCATGGATTGGAGTGGAGTCGGTTGGCGTTGTAGCGCAAGTCGAGGAAACTTCGGAAAGGACCTCAACTTGACAACACCTTGTTGACTTCGCAAGGAGCTGGCCCGTTCCTGTCTGCACGTCCTGCCAAATGCTCAAGTGTCAATGTTGCTGTTAATTAATTTGCCGACTGACTGGCCAACTGGATGAGTGACGGACTGACTGGCTGGCTGACTGACTGACTAACTGACTAACTGACTGATGCATGCCACCAGATAAGTGGGGCTTCCACTTCGGACTTCTGGCTGACCCTTTACTGGAGTCCGGGCGGGCGATTTGATAAACTGTTTGTTTGCCCCGCTGTTGGCCAATTTGTAGTTGCTGTTGCGGCTGCTGTTAGCTCTGTCACTGCAGCCAGCTAATGACGGCCAAACGGCCACTTGAAATGGGCCCGTACGTGGGTCAAAGGTCGGGTGCGTGTCGAGTGCTCCTGTGTGCGTGCCTGTTTGTTTTTGTGTGGGTGTCAAGTGTTTAAATTTCCAGCTGCTACAGTTATATTTATAGGTAACTTGGTTATAATGGCCACGAAACAGGCATTTGTGGCAGGCGAAGGGCTCAAGGGCTCGCCGCTTATTACATTTTAAAGTAATATATAAAATTTATAAATATTATGTACGGGTATTTCGAAAGGGCAAGGTTTATAGACCCTCTAGCTAATGGCATAAATTAAATATTTCCAGAAAACTGATACTTATTGTTATTTCCGCAGCAACAACACGAAATGCTTATAATTTCAAGAATATTCCCAACTTTATTCCCCTCTTTAAAGAGTAAAAATAACGTGAAATGCTTTTCAGGCGAAAAATAGCATGTCAGCACATTACAGAACCAACAAAGTCAGCCCGAGAGCCCATAATTATTATTCACTGCCCCATTCCCCACCGCCAATGGACATGAATTGCAGAAAAGCCATATTTTTGTGGCGCTTGGCTATGGCTATGGTTATGGGTGGCCAGGTGGGCAGGTGGTCAGGTGGGCAGGTATCGAATAAAAAGCGGAGCACCATTAGTCATATTAATCCCGGTGGAGTCATTAAGTCGTAAAACAGCGAAAGGTAGCCAAAATGCGAGGCAGTCGGTCCAAGAAAACAAAAAAACTCAACTCGGGCGAGGCGACGCAGGACTACTTTTGTTTGTCTGTCACTTCATTGATGGACATAAACCGACTATGTGGGTCAATTTCGGCTGTTTGCCGCCCGTCAAAGTCAATAAATACGTAAATGGCACAAATTTCAGGTGTTCTAGGCGTTTACATCATTTGGTCAAGGCACAGCAAGCAAATAAAATGGAGAACATTTTTGTAGGCTTGTAATAAATGGTAGACTGCTTATTTACGATCCATTCAATATTCTATTTATATGCAAGTTTATATGGCGTTTTTATCCTTAGAAAAATGTAATCACTTTCTTTAAGATCTAGACATAGTCGTTTACTACGAAATTATAAAGTTAACTTGGCAGCAACTTAAAATCAAGAAGTCCACATTACTTCCGGGGAAATCAAGTTGAAGTCCCCAATCCGATCAGTGCTTCCACTCAATTCCACACCGGCAGAATGCCATTCCAAGTCCACTGGGGTTTCCCGAGGGCAGGAGTGCAACTAATCGCATGCTCATTGCTCATCTGCCGCCCATTCCCCGCCACATTGCTTATCCGCAGCGTAATCTGCCGGCTTCCCAGGGAGGCGCACACATCGCATCACGCATACGCCACGTCGGCCCGCCCAAGGGCGCATATCTGTTTCAGCTCAGCGCTGCGAATGCGTACTGCCTATGGGGCACAAAAGTACAAAAAAAAAAAGGAAAATACAATCCGAGGAACCGCAAACACTGCGCAAATATTTGCTTTAAAATATCTTTCACATGTCAGCGACAAGCGGCCACGGGGGAAATGACGGAAAGGGAAAACTCCGGAAAACGCAGGAGCTCGAAAGCACGGAAAATGGAAAACTGAGACAGGTGCGGTCGCTCGGTATTTTTATTTGCCCCGGCAGCTTAAGCACGCAATTTGATTTAATTTCTGTTCGCCTTATTTATTTATGGTTTATTTTTCTTTTTTTTTGCATTTTGCAACGATCAAAGCGAACTGAAGCCCACAAAAATTTTCGGGGGCCAATGAAATTTGAATTTTAAACTCAGCATTGTAAAGAGCGATGACATTTGCTCCCTTGTGAGATTCCATTGCGAGTACACATTTGAATGAATTCCATATGAAGCTCGAAAGTGAACCCTACACAAAGTCATATTAGCAGCCATCAAAGGGCTTAAAGCGTCTGAAGAACTATCAAGCTTTGTTTCCAAGAAACAATTTTCCAGCTCCCTCAACTGAAAGTGGAAATTTTGGCCATCCATCTCCCCTCTGTCACCCAGCATTTTGTGCATGCATGTCGACTACTTTGGGCGCTGATGTAATGCGTAATATTCCGTTTAACTAGACTTTTCCGGCTTGCCGAAAACAATTTCACTTCGTCAACTTAGCGAACCGCACCCTCTGCGGTGAAACCACCAACGATTAATCACAGCGACTATTCCACAGAGCACTTTTGCACGTATTTTCACGCAGTTGCTCTGCGGTCTTGGTTCAGCTAAAAATTAAGCTTGGAAATTATGGTTACTGATAAAATCGTCATGTCACTTGAGGCACTTACAGGTATGTACAGGTGTATGTTGAATACAGAAATCTCTAGCTCCAAATGAAGCTAAGCTAAGAAGTAAATGCCAACTCAACTCATGGCGTACATATGTTTTCCCTTTTTAAGTATTTTGTCTGCCATAAATCAGGCAAAACTAAAGACACACGACAACATTTCCATTTGCCCCCAAGGTAGGGAAATTTTAGTTCCATGCTATTTTCATTCATCGTAAGCGCTGCGGCGTGCCATTAATCACATAAAGCTGCCTCCATGCCGTTTTCCGGATACGGACTTCCTGGGCGAGCCGGGAGCCCAACTAGTTGTCATAGCAAGTTGACACTTAAAATGTTAGCTAAATTTACACATGCACTCAGCTCGAAGTCAACAAATGAAGAGGCGGGCTGACGATGCCAAACAATGCTCTCCAAGAGCTCAAGGATTCAAGGATTCCACCCCATCCATCGGTGGCTGGATCCGGATGTCCCTGGACGGCCCTGAATGGGCGTGGTGACTGATGGCAGGCGGCAACTCTAACACTTATCGTTCATTATTATCTATCGCCATCGCCATCGCCATCGCCGCAAACACCGGAAACTTCCCAGCGCCCACTTTTCCACGGAACCCACCACCCACTGGCCACATGGACGCACACACTTAATTGATTTCTTACTGTTGCCCGGCCATTTCTTTCGAACAAGGATCACCACCGTTCGCAACTTTGACAGGACAATTTAATGTGCATCAACTACACAGCGACGGATTTAATTGCGCTTACAAATATTTTCAAATATATACAACATATTGAAATGATAAGAAATAATACAAATTAATACTGGAAAGCAAGGAGTTCGTTTTAAAAGATGAAATGTTAATGTGGTTAAAATGATGCAGTAGTAACTAGCCTTCAATGGGCCGCTGCCTCTATAAATAGCTAATGA